CCTCAATTGCTTTTGTTTAATGGTGCAACAGTGGTGGTTTCTTACATGAGCAATATGGGCAAATGCCCAGGGTGTTATGTTTTTAGGGATGGCACGAGACCATCACACATTTTAGCACAGAAATGGAATATTTAATATTGGTAAAATGTATTAAGTATTATTATCTAGGTTTTTTATGGTAATATGGATCTTTCAGATTATTTTGAGAAGCAATTTTGATCATATTTTACATTTTATTGTGTCATGTAGCTGTAGCCGGTCTTGGTCTTGACTCGGTCTCGGACCCTAACAGTCTTGGTCTTGTCTTGGTCTCGGGTTAGGTGGTCTTGAACACAACACTGTAAACATGGCGTCTTTCACTTAGACTGACTCTCTGCAGAGTATTTCTGAGTCGATTAGTGTAGCATTTCTGCCGGATTTTCACAAAATATCAGCCACGACAATGGACAGGGGGAACCAACAAGTTCATGACATCAAGGTGTTTGAGCCACGTGATGCCTCCAACATTGTGCGCGTCACAGCTAAATGCTACCGACAGATGAGGAAAACAGCAGATCCTCACACCCTCAGCATAAATATAGCTGTGGACAAGATTCCTGATGCATATTGTTCTTGCAAGGCTGCATAAGTCGGGCATTCATGGGTTTGAGGGTTACTTTTGAAATCAGTGATTTCTGTTGTTGGCAAATGTTTGAGTGTGCCTAGGCCTGTTACTCGGTACTCGGTGCTAACGTGGCTAACATGATTACAGTTTAGTAAAAAGCCTTTTCAGGTAAAATAAAATTTTAATGTGTGTCAGATTCGGGACACATTGCATATTGATCTGTTCAGCTAACGTAAGACTGTGTAACAGACAGGATTCACGGTGTAGAAGTTGTATCGGTACTGCCATTATGCTGTACTTAGCTAAAAGGTTTTCATAATGGATGTATTAATTATTGACTTTCTTTTTTTCATTCACTAAACACAAATCAATAATATTTACACCAGCACACACTCCTTTGTTCTTATTGATCCTACGACGGTTGAGCTACAAATGCGGTCGTCCACAAGCTTTGATCCAAGCAAGACTTTCCGTTTCAGATTTTGTAAATCTGTGAATTTTAGTTCCACAAATACGATCAGAATACCTGACATCGCCTGAACAGATTCCCCACTGACAGTCGAGAACCTTTCTTTTTTGAGTCCTGACGCAAAAACTTTCTGCCTGTCTGCTAGTCCACAATGTACATTAGCATGTGTTTACTACTGTAGCTTGTGTTTGTGAGACGGTCACGCACGTGGTAGCTGCGCTGTGACGTGAAATGGGCATTAGCCAATGAAACGCAGCCCCTGTCGTAAGGTCCATAGACACAGTGTTGTTCAGCATGGCAACACCTTCAGTTTGTAAAAAATAGCTCTCACAGCTTCACTCAAGCTTCCTGCAAACTGCCCTCAGTGATTTCTGTTGAATTATTATTTATTTCAGACTCTTGAAATTATTACAGAGTGGGCCGTTATGGAAAGTATCCAATACAAATTCTCTGTGGGGTGGAGATCGACAATCCACATGCCTTCACAATGACTCCCACCATTTGAAACTAATTAATCTTGATGCTGTCCTCCCATGGTGATTGGTTCTTAGCAGAACAGTTGAAAGTTTAGGGAATTGAAACCAACAGCATCAGTTTGAGTTAAACAATAGTATCCAGGTGGAACACATTTATCGTCCTGACACATGTGATGGTCTTTTCAGTTTGTGAAACAAAATCTGGATATTGTCATTTTATTGGCCTGGAACTGAACTTCAGGAACACCTTCAACAGCCTCCTTGTTTTGTAATTCCTGCCAGATGTAATTCGTGACCTGACGTCATTCTAAAGTTTTCATCTGATGAATATTTTGACCATGTCTGGTATCACAGTCTGTGTAAACAAAAAGCAAGTTTCAAACTGAAAGCTCAACAATGTTACAACTGTTTTACATCTATGGGTAATTCTTCTATTATAAAAGTCTTTTCCAGATTAAAAAAGATTGTCTTTAATTTGTTTATATTCTCCTCCAACCACTACTGAATTTTCAGTGAATTATGGAAAGCTCAGAAAGGTTTTGAAAGAATCATATTGCTGCTTGAAGAAGAACTGAGCCATAATGACAACCAAAGGCAGGGGTCCCCAAACTTTTTCCTGTGAGGGCCACATAACTTTTCCCTTCCTTGGTGGGGACCAGAGTCAGTTNACTCACACATATTTCTTAGCTGTAAAAACATATTATTTTAAGCTAAACTTACATAGTTTAGTTAGCAAATAACTAATATGTTAGAATTTAAACATATCTATAATAGCATTCTCTCATTACCTAATTGATTTTATTGACACATGGCAGGACGAAGCTGGAATCAAACCTACAACCTGCTGATCGCAAGATGACTACTCTACCTACACAGCCACAGTCGCCACATACTACTGTAGACCAATACCTATCGGATGAAGAGATTCAAGAAATCAGAAAAAGAAAAACAATTTGTTGAGTTTGTGGCAAAATCTATGAGTAGAAGATAAAACTCTTTTTGCAGTGGAAATTTGAACTTTTAATTTTTCTTTCAGGTAATATGAGAAACTCTACCATCATCGTTCTCCTGAACTCAATATTGTGTTTCGTCCCATCTTGTGAGTTTTATGTATCCCTACACTCCTAGTGCTCCTAGAGTAAAGAGGATATCACAGTATCTTTGAATCTCTCCAATAAACTACAGTCATTGTGAGATCTGCACTGGAAGCACAATATGGACCAGTAAACCCAGCAACATCTTTTGTAAAATACCAAATCAGAGCAAATCAAGATCCAACTTCAATCTTTGAGTTTTTATAGTGCCTACCATCTAACTGTCTCTGGTTCCGACTCCTCTACAGCTCTGCTTGTGGTCAGACGTCTTCTTCTGTTGGCCAACATGTAAAGGTCTTCATATAAGCGGGTCGCTGAGCCTTCTGAGCTGTTCTCTGACAGGACCGGTGGCGCCACAGGCAGATGAATCTGGACTTTGGATGAAGCCTGCCATTTTTACAGCTGACCTTGACTAGAGGTCCTTCTAGTAATTTATAGCAAATAATGTTCAAAGGAGTCCCATTTCCAAGATTCACTGTCACTTTGTGTTCAACCATCACTCTGCCTCCAAAGCCAATGTGCGACATGAACGTCCCATAAAAAATATTAGCAGCCGCGCTGGCGTCCTATCCAATTATGTGAAGAGTGAATTAATGCTTCTGAAAGCAGTGAGTTTTTAACTGTTGCTGAAACTCCAGACTTTGCAGTCTTATTGCTCTACATGTGTTTGTACAAATGACTGCAAGCTGCGTCAAAAGAGTTTTAATTTGTCAATTGTTGGTACTTTATGGAAACACATGAATCCATTTGAGCTTTAAATGAATGTTGATGTTCTCTGTTAAAATGCAGACATGTTTTTATGCACAAACTCAGGATGACAACAGCCATGCAGGCTTCCAATAAGCTCCAGGCACGAGGTAGAAAATGTGTTGTTTTGTTAGCAGGGCAAACATCTGCTTTCTGTGTTATTGATGAAAGTTTTAGCAGCAGAGTGTTGTGTGTAGAGAGTGTTCCCCCCTAAAGCACTCTGTCTAATCTTTATACAATAATGAGTACTATGAAGAAACCCAAAGTGTTCCTCAAAGCCACTGGGCAGCTGGGCAGAAGGCTTGGTATAGGACTGTTTAAGGAAATGTTACAAAATTGGTCAGTAGTTACAATAGTTTCAAAATTGTTCTGTACTATTCCATTTGCTAGCTGCTGCACTTCTTGAGTGTTTTTTTTAATCAGCAGTGAAATAATTATCTATGACAAAAACCTAGCATATCCACAAACTTTTATCTCTCTACAGCTGTGAGGTTTTAGAGATGAGTGATAAAGAAGAATTGAATGCATAGTACACTCATTTAGCAGCTGTCCTGAAAAGTAGCTTGATGTGAATTTGTGCGGGGCTAACTGCTGAATGGGATAAAAATTCCCTTTTTATGGAGTTATTCTTTTTATTCATTTTTGCATATGAAACATTTGTAAACATATTCCACAACCAGGAAGTCTGAATTTTGAGTCTACAAAGTGATTTTAACAGAATTTAGATAATTTATCTGTCCAGAAAATTGTTAATTACTTCTGTACCAAAATTCCAATCTGATTTCAGCAGTTGGTATTTTTTTAGAGGACAACACACACATGTTTAGTCTTTGAGAATGGAAAACAAATACATCTGGCAGTAATTTACACAGATTTGTAAGGATGCAAAATTGACATCGACATTGGCTGATGTTAGTTATTGTTGTAGCATATTGGTCAAATAAGCCAATATGAATAAAATATTTATTTTGGTCTTGTTGCTGTTTCTGGTTGGTCTGTGTTTGGTCATGTAACAGAGATAGTGAAGCGGTGCAGGACAGAAGCAGAGACACAATGTCATTAGTGGGTTTTTATTGTGTAGAAAGAGTAAAGAAATAATGTCTGTAAATATCAGTTAGTGGATATCACAGCAATATTATTACTATTGTATTTTGTAGCCCAAGTTTTCACATTGGTGCATCTCTATAGATTTAAAATATTAACTATAGTAACAAGTAAATGATGCATCACATTCAGCTACTTTAAGTATATTTCCGGTTTAGTTCTAAAACAGGCATAAAGGTATTTCTTAAGATATAAAGTTAAATTAAACACAAAATTTTAATGAGCTGCTAAAAACATTACAAAAAGACATGAGAAGTGTTGAGTTCTGTTTAAGTTTGTTCATTTTTTAAAATTAAAATCTTCCTAATGTCATAAGATTCAAATGTTTGAGGCATCGTGCTGAAAATCAAGCCTTTTAAAACAAACAAGTCTTTTTGATAGGAAAGTTTGCTACAGCAAAGCAAGGCTTCATTTTTTATGTGTAGCAAGCAAATGTAAATGTGATCCTGTCGATTGTATCTTTAAAAATAATAATATTTGAATTTCTCCATATCTCCATGGACCAGCTTTGTGTTCCACCTTGATGGATCATGGTATTAACCAGTACTTAGTGCTGTCTCACTGAGGACTCAGCTGTGGTTGGTATTACACTTCAGGCTTTGATGAAACCAGCAAGTTTCACCTGCTAATAATTGCAGCTGTCACACGAGGACATTTGTTTCCTGAGGCTGCATCAGCACTTCCTCTGTAACGCTGTGCCTAAATTGGACTCATGTGGTGACGCTGCACTTTTGTTATTTTTACATGGCAACCTTTCTCCTCACTTTCTCTTTCTTTCTGAGCCTGATGCCAGCTCATGTTATGCAGATCATATTAGCAGTGTTGGTTAGGATACCGTGGCCTGAAAAAAACTAGGTTACAGAGCAGCAACAACCTCACAGCTGTAGAGAGATAAAAGGTTGTGGACAAGCTAGGTTTTTGTCATGGATAATTATTTCACTGCTAATTAAACAAAAAACGCCCAAGAACTGCAGCAGCTAGCAAATGGAATTGTTTTTATAAAGTGTTGTTTAAGAAAAATACACTTCATGAATCAATTGCTGGAGAAGCAGAATTAATTTCTTGTTTGTGCGTTTGCTAAAGTTCACAGTCATGTTGGTTCATAAACCAAATACAGAACTCATATTGAAGTCAAGGTCTGTGAGGTCATTGGATCTGTCCAGTGAGATGATTCCATCTATCAATAGTCAACCAGTAGGTTACATGGTAAACTTGGCAATCACAGTTAATATTCCAGTAGGCAATGCAATAGCTACATATGCCTTAGTCACAGCTTTCTGAAAGGTTAGATGCAGCAAGGAAGTTTGAAAGATTTTAAGGCTGCATTCACACCAGCCCTGATCAGTCCGTTCCAGTCGAGTTCTGGTTAGTTTACCTAAAAGTCCGGTTCGTTTGGAGAGGTGAGTCTCTTTAATCAAACTCTGATCCACCTAAAAATGAAGATCTTAGTTCGGTTGAAGTGAACTGTGATGGTGTGTGAATGCATGCAGAGCATAATCTCAACAGATTACATGTGATCACATGTAATCAAGTTGCCTATTCTGAATACTGAGATCCTTTTTTGTCATAATCCAAGATGCCAACCACACAATAAACCAAGTTGAACCACTCCTTTTAATAAAGTGCTACTGCCACAGGGGAGGTGATCTCACTAAGGCTCCTCATAGCAACAGCAGGCCTGTTATTTGTTTTGTTTGTTTTTTCCACTGTAACTGTGATTGTGGGTTTGTCACATTCTGTTGGGCATGAGGATCAGTTTGTCCTCCCACTGACTGCTCAGACTTGTTGGCGAGCCTCTTTTCTCCTTTGTCTCTTGTTTCCTGCGCTTTTGTTAGCTGTGGTTATGAAAGGCATGGCTTTGAGTGGAAGTATATGGTTTTATTCCAATAGTTTTTTACACAGTAAAATTTTACTCACTTTGTTAAAACAATTAAGGAGGAAGTCATCTTTGTACTGAAGCTCCCGATGACCTTCTAGTGTCATGGTTTTAGGGAGTCTCATAACCCACATGCAGAACCAGTCGTGAACGAGAACGTAGACATGACAACGATGGTTTATTCACTATATTTACCAGGTGAATGTACAACACTGGAGGAAGGAATGCCTGGAAGAGAGACTGGATCAGTTTGATCACAATTGGAGTAATAGATTTCTCTACATTTTGTTGAAGCGAGTGACACATTGGAGGAGAAGTTGGAACCTGCTCTGTTTGGTTTGAACCTTAGTTGCTGTGTGTGAGTCAGAGTGGAGCGTTCACCAAGGAGAGATCCAGGTCAGGTCAGACACAAAAGGCTGAAGTAACAATGAAGAAAAACTTCTAACAGGAGGACTCACACACGGCCATAAACACACACACAATGGGAAGGCAACATCTTGTATTGTCTAACATAGTAAAACAGACTGGATTTGTCTAATCTAATTAGACAGAATGGTTACTTATTCAGTCAAACGATCAATCGACTAAGTCAAGTTTATTTGTACACATGTAAACGTTGCAGGTCTCTGGCCGTTGAGGACTCTGCTTTAGAGACTCTACATCCAAACTGACTGAGCCTGAGTTGTTTTGCAGTGAAGTATAAGTAGAAACCTCTCAGCCTCTTTAAGTTCCAGGCCATTAGGTACAACCTCACAAACCTGGCAGCTGTGACTGCAGTAAAAACTCTTTCTACAAACTATCAGCTCAGAGGCGCTGAATACGAATCCACGTCAATCCTTTGTATGTTTTTCTCATGTGAAAACTAGATATTATCAGAATTATAAACCATTGGAATCAGGGACTATTACCCAATAGTAAAAGTTTAATAAACCAAATAGAGCATATGTGTGTGAATGTGTGTGTGTGTGAATGGAAATGACTGATTTCATTTAAAGTCTATTTGAGAAAACCAATAATTAAGTCTGATATATGACCAAATTTGGCCAAATTCTGAATATGCCTGTCTTTACTGATGGAATAAAAGATACAATTATAAATCAGACAAATTCTAGATATTTTTCTTTCCTTCTAGCTGCTGCATTCATCACAGACCACAGACACCTGACAGTGTTTGGTTGTTTATTTGGATTTTGACATAAATTGACACAGAATCAGAATTATGAGATTAAAGTCAGAATCCTTTTTTTCAGTTACCCTAATCCTGTTTCCTACATTTGGATAGATACAAAAATATATTTCATTTATTGAACCTAAATTTAAATTCTTCTGAAACTCAAAATCCCAAATGCACCACAGTAACAGGTTTGTGAATTTCCTCAGAGGCCTGGACACTGGGAGCTGTGCTGAGGTCAGTAGATCTTCATATTGTTCCACTGACGTAACGTAGCAACCAGCACGACAAATTGTCTTGTTTTTCCTAATGGGATTAATTCTGGTTCATTTTAAAACAAAGTTCCTGAAAGAAGTAGACAGTTTCTGTCAAATATATTGCAGTGGCAGATCATCCATAAGGGGGCGCTGTAGCGCCTGCAGTCAGGAGTTATTAGTTGATTTTCTAATGCTCAGTTTTGATAGGATTCAGCCTGTTATTTGTTCAGAGTTACATTTAGTTTGGCTAAATGTAACTCTGTTTTTAGTCTGCTTCAGTGTTTTTAGATTTTTAGATTATATTTATTGTCATTGCGCAAAGACACAAAAGTGAATTTGGCAACGAAATGTTGTTGATGGAATACCCAGAAAAAAACACAAAAAAATTGTAAGTGTGACTATGAATGCATATAGGTATTAAAAAGTTTTACTGATGGAGGTAAGAAATAAAAATATATTAATTTGTTTATTCCACAAGTTAGTGAACATATACTTTACTTTTACCTGATTTAGCCGTTCATGTTATTTTTGTGGAGTTGAAGTTCTTTTCCCACCATTAATATGAATCCTTAGAGATATAATTTGATCCTTTAGAAATGAGTTTTACTTATTTTCAGATTGATTTTGTGTATTTTGTGATTTTTGTTTGTTTGTTTGTTTGTTTCTTAGCTGGATGCTGATTATTTTAGGCTATATGAAATAGATCTATTTTCAATCAAATCTAATAGATCTTTTTTTATTATCTTGTATTGATCAATAATATAGAATATTGTATTTCTACATATATGCAGAGATATTTTATTTTAGAAGTACGCCATGTCATCACAGCTGGAAGCAGAGCAGCAGAAATTATGGGAGAACCCCGAGGGCGCAATGTTGGTCCCACATGTCATTCAGTCTCCATAGTAACCAACTAGTGCACCAGTTGGTGGATGATAGCGGTCGATACCTCCTCCAGTAACACTGAAGATTTTAACTCAGAAATGCACCACAGCATCAGGATGTGGGGTCAAAAACAGAAACACAGCAGTCTTCTCATAAGGACATCCACACAACCTTTAAAACTCTCAACAAAAAAACTCGACTTCTGTATAGCAGGACAGGCTACTCTAAACATAAGTGTCGCCATTGTTAAGAAAAAACTTTAAAAACATTCAAAGATTGACTGGAAATAATCATATTAGACCTCTTTGTATGTCAATAGATTTTTGTAGTTTTTAATATTTATTGTTTTTTGTAACTGATCTTTGGAATACATGAATTTAGCTTATTGTGCTCCTGCTTTTTGCCTACGGACCAATTCTCCAAACTTTCTTCATTGGTATTATTGTTGAAGAGTTGTGTATTCTTTCTATGGTAGAACGGTGTGTGTGCATGCATGTGTGTGTGTGTGTCTGTGTGTGTGCTGTAGGTTTTAGTCTGGATGGTTAATTAAATGGGAACGTTATCTGCTGAACTTTATAGTTTACTATAGAAACATTTTAAATGCCATTGGCAAGTGGAAAAGGCCTGATCCATCCTAATTACTGAAAGGGTAAATAGTTAGTCATGAAACATAAGCCAAGATAAAACTTTACTGTAAGTTTAAAGAAGTTTGTTACATCTTATCTGCTTTACTGAACATGCACCAGTTCATAGTTTCAGCATGATCATGTGACCAGAACAAAATGAAGATTCATCACTGAATTACACTTTGACTGCTTTCATTCTTTTGTACATATTTTATGGAATCTTAAGGAATCTGCATTTTTTGAAGGAATCTAACCTATCACTCAGCTCCTCCAAACTAGCAGCAGCAAAGTGGCATTATGTGCCAGGAAAATACAAAATACCAACAATTTAAATTATCAAGCGCTAAAGCCTGGATGAACCAGGATCTTTACTTAAAGCATTTTTCTTTTAAATATATTCTATAGGGAACTCATTTTATCCACACTTCTAGAACCCTACTAGAGTTGATTACATGTGGAGCATTTAATTATGCATGCCTATTTGGCCTTGTGCACATTATTACAACATTTACACACCAGAACTTTTTCCAGTGTTTGTATCTCTCCTCTGCACACTGATGGAGTTTTTGTGACAAGTGCTGAGATTTTAATAAATTCCAAATTAGATTTTTTTAATTCCTCAGTTGTGATGTATCCATGTTGACTCTACACCTGGAGTCTTTAGCAATAATGACATAGAGAGTTGCTTTTATATTTTTAATTTCCTATTTTTATCTCACGTTGTCCAGACTGTGTTAAATTTGAAGTGTAAGGTCAGGAAGGTATAAGACAGAAAACTGGAGCTGTAACTGTTTTGGAAGAATTCTTTGTCCCACAGTTTGACGTCACTGATTTCGAGGTTTTCAACTCCTGCGGTTAGACATTACAGCCTTTCTGACAATGTGTAGCTGTCTATAGTTTTTCTAACATGTATTTGAGGCCTTGGAGACCAATTCTACACCTTGAGTTCACACCCTACCTACAGTGTGTGACATTTGTAACCGTAGCTAATGACTAAATAGCACTTCTAAATGTAACGCAGGTGGTTTCTCCCAACCCTGAGCCCTGATAGCTTGATCCATGAGACTCGCGTTGTTTCACACGTTCCTGCTGAGCCATTTTAACTTTAGAACATTAAACTCCCACTCAGATGATGGGAAGTTATTGATGAACTGAGATGTGGGACAATTCCATCCAGATGAGATGGGTTTCATTTTCATCAGTGTGTCTGGTTGTTTTCTGGTTTTTATGTAAAATCCGTTTTGCATATTGGAACAAAAATGAGCCACAACTTACCCTGAGAATCAGTCAGGGAAAACGTACACTGTCCTCTCTGCTGTTACTAAAGCATCGCTCCTGTTAGCAATTGCCTTTGACTGTTGTTTCCTCTTTATCACACAGATACTGGATCCACAGGTGTGCTTAAACAAGCATCCAGGTTCAAACCATCCCTCTGGCAGACATGAGGAACAAAGGGTATGTTCTAACCTCTCCTATCTCCATGCCTATCTATGACTGATAAACTTGACCAAAAAAAACTTAAACAGTGACAAAGCAACGTTTGGCCACATTTAACAGGTCAAAGCAAGTCAATTGCTGTTTTGTTCACATATCGGTATTGTTCTGATAAGTTAAACTGGGTCGATATTACACATTATTTATTTCTTGATGCCGTTTGTTTCTGGAGGCTGGTCATGTGGTGTTTGTTTGGTCATGTGACAGTGATGGCGATGCAATGCGGGATTGTGGGAAATTTAGCTGAGGCAGAAAAGCTTTTGTTTTTCAAGGTGTTGAAATTGTAGTGAAGTACATATGATATAAACAATATTGGTAAATATCAGTTATAGGTCATAACAGCAATATTAAACCTGGATAATGATATCTGCTTTAATTTTCACATTGGTAGAATTTGGATTTGCAACATTATTCTCCACCAATAATGTTACATTTAAGGTCGTATGTTTGAGCCTGGCTGAACAGAGACATCCCCTTCACATGAGCAAGGTTTCCCCCACTAAGCCTGGAGGGCCACCAGACTTTACTTGCCCTCCCGCCAGGCTAAGCATTATTTATTTGAAATAGGGCTGGTGAATTGCCCTAGCACCTCCTACCAGTAGCAGGTTTTCTGGGGGAAATGCTGCTTGTAGATTATTTGAAGCTTTCCACCTCAGCTTGCCTCATATACAGCAGTTCACAGGAAACCTAAACTCCGGTCAGGTCCTTTAGATACTGGCTCTGGTTGCTCCTTCAGTCTCTAATGAGGAAGACGTCCATCCTAGTTGCCTCCACATGAGTCCATAGAGTGTTAGCAGAGAAATGGAAGCAAAAGAACCATATGATAACAGGCAACAGTTTTCACAGTCGTTGAATTGTGGCCTTAAAGCTGACTGAAGACAGAAGATGTTTTTCTCCAGTTTGACCTTAGCTGTCCCTAAATGCTGCCAAGATGGGAGATCGACTGCTGCTTCTCTTGGCTCATGTTGTTAGCCAGGCGCAGATCTCAGTAGGATGGAGCCGGTGTAGAGTGTAGGTAGGTCCAGTAGTAAATTTGCACCACCCTCATCCATCACCACGGCCACAGCTCTGCCTCCGCCTTTTCCTTCAGCTGAGCTGAACTACGTCCCTGCTTATGCACGTTCTCTGGCACATAATTAATTCTGCCTCTCATATCTCTTCCTGTGTGTCAGCACCTCTGCTGCTTTATAGGCTCATTCTGGAATGAACTGACAGGTCTGCTTTGAAATATCACCAAATTAAGACTGCTGGCATGTGTAAGCAACTCAAATAAACACAAAAATCCACAAATCAAACGGAGGGCGCTGTCGATGCCTCCAATTAAAACTTTGTCCACCCTGTGATCTTCAGAGGTTTGTTTTGTGGGCTGGAACGTTTGAACTGATTCCACATTCATCATGTCTGTGTTTCATTCAGCTTTGGCTTGCACACATCGGCTTGGGTTCCTTCAGTCCTAAAACCGTCTGTCATTAATCCAGGTCAAAGTGGGTGTGTTTTGTCAGTAATAAATGTTTTCAGTGTGTTTACCGGCTTCCTGTTCGTTCATTCCAGTTGTTTTTTTCCTAACAAAATTCATTCATTTTTGCTCCTCAAGCAGCTGGGAGGTTTGACCTAGAACAGACTGTAAATCCTTGGTCAGCAATATTGTCTGTCCATCCGGTTTCCATAGTGTTTCCATAGTAACAAACATTTACATGCTCGAAATCAGTATCGTCAAACTGTGAAAACACTGTAGTCTGACAGTGTTTTCACACCGTATGGTTCAGTAGACTTGACTTGGTCGGGAACCAGAATTACAACATTTTTTTACATTTTGTCCTGATGTGGTTTGCTTTCACACCACGCTGCATCAAATGAACCAAACCTGTTCCCCCGCTCAACTGTGGGGGTGCTGCACCAAGAACCACTAAAGCACAACTTTGTTTTTCACAATAATGCAGTGGAGTTTAGTGGTGTTTGGATTTCTCTTTGTCTTTGGTTAAAGACAATGAGCCATTTCTCCCCTTACGTTAGACTTGCGTGTTTGATTTGGTTATATTTACCCATGATGCCATACATTGTAGTCCATTTTCTGCCTTTCTCTGGTCAGCTTGGCGTTCACATATGCATTGAAACTGCACTAGAGTTCAACTTCTTTTATCAGTCATTTTTACTCATACCACTAGGTAAATTCTCAAGACAAGTTGTTGCATTTAATTCTGAAGCTGAAGGTTAAAAAACCTTCCATCTAAATCTGGACAGAACATGTGCATGTGAACATGTGCATGTGAACATGTGCATGTGAACATGTGCATGTGAACATGTGCATGTGAACATGTGCATGTGTGAACATGTGCATGTGAACATGTGCATGTGAACATGTGCATGTGAACATGTGTATGTGAACATGTGCATGTGAACATGTGCATGTGAACATTTGCATGTGAACATGTGCATGTGAAGGTGGCTGAGTGCAGCTCTAGTTTCATCCTGTTTTGTTTCCCTCACTTATGTCTGGGTGAAGCTAAACACCGTGATCTGATGGAAATCACTGAAAGGAAATATGACAAGCTTTATTATACGAGGTTGCACTTACAGATGGAAAATATCCATGTACACACACAGTCCACTCAAGTCTGAGGCACAGCTTGGCAAACAGCTGTTCATCTGTGTTTAAATTATCACCTGTCAACCTGAATTTAGCTTGCAAGAGCTAGAATGTAAATTTTCTGTTCAGCCATTGTGGAGAAATCACCCACCACACCTCCTTCCACTGTCATCCATCATAAAGTAGAGCCAGTGTGGTCCTGCGATTCATTTTTCTCATGTTCAAGCTCCTTTCAGGAAGCTCTGAAAATAGCTCCGGTTTTATACAGGGATACATTTGGGGGAAAAAGTTCAGTTATCTACTAGAAGTCATGACAAATTTGATTTGTGAGAATGCATTTTATCTTTACCTCTTGGATTACCAATAACAACATCTACTTGTTTCCTGCACAAGATTTTGTATTGTACTTCAGTCTCAGAAGAAGCAAGTGTCACTAAAGGCTGAAAAGTCTCTGAAAATCTTTATTTAGGTAAAAAAAAAAAAAAAAACACCTAAATGTGCCTTTGTAATGAATTACTGTGATGCTGTATCAAACTCTGTACCAATCAGAGCTCCAGTTGACTTGAATAATACAGGAGTGATGAATGTTGAAGCTATTGCTGTGTTTCCATTGACCATATAATTGCTCTAATGGGAATTACAGAAAAAAATATTTGTTAAATTAAAGTAAACTGAAGTTTTAAAAAGAACTTCAGTTTTTTTTATTTTTGTACTACGATGAGTATAGCTGGTTTTTTAGCCGCATCAGAAATGATGTATTCCACAAAACTGCAATGGATAAAAAAATGTTTGCACTTGAACTCTTTGATTCTTTTCTTTTGCAATCTCTTCTGCTAACCGGTTTATTTCCATCTGTTCCTGCATAGACGATGTTTGGAGCAAACCTGCCCACTTCATCCATTTCCTGTTTCCATTAAGTGGTCACACATTCATTCAACATGTTCCAATTTACAAGGGCAAGAAAATAATTTGTTCTTTGATTAGTATGCAAGACTTTCAGATGGAGCACTACATCACCATGCAATAGAAAATGATTTATCCACTTAATTGATTTCTAGGGTCTCCAGCTCCTTCGTCTATTTTTTTAAATGAAACTCAAGAGATGATTTTCATTCCATGAAGTGATTAAATAAACTAAAAAACAAAAAGAAAATGCTGCAGCTAAGCCCTGTGAAGTGATATCCAGGGTCATTACCTTCAGACTGTATGGTATTTTATAGTTTCATAATGCCACCCTGACAAGCTGCTGATGCCCAGCATTAAAGGAGAATAATAAAAGACAGTAGCCGTGTTTATGTTAAAAGGCAGACGCGGTGAGGTCGTCTCAGGCCACTGACGTCGCCACGTAACTTCTCCTCCTCCAGATATTTGACAGAGACTCCAGAGCGCATCCCACATCAAACAGGCACATAAACCTCCGTCCTTCACGCTGGGCCTTTCTTCATTGCTTTCTCATCAGGGCCACTTAAGACGTGATCAGATGAGAGCGAGCAGAAGGACAGAGGAAATGCAGATTGGCATCAGCCCGGTCTGGAGCAGAACAGCTGCATTACAGAGACACCTGTCAGGCATTAAAGCCTCCACCCATTATTTTTCTGCAACATTAGCTTCTGATGGCTTTGTGTCTGCACCATCAGGACAATGCAGAGTGTAGGAGAAGGGAAAAGGGTAAAAAATCCTTATAATGTCTTTGATTTTATTATGTTTTAGTCTATATTTAGTCTCTTTAGTTACACAGCCGCAAGGGGAAAAAGAGGGAAAGAAAACAATCTCTTTATTTTATGAGTTGCTCTGCTGCGTTCGGCGCTCTGACTTGTTCTATTTCTGGGTTTATGTAGTGTGAGAGTTGGAGCAGGTTCACTGTCATATTTCTTAGTGGGCTACTAATGCCACTTGGATCCGGCTCAACATTTTCCAACTAGAAGTGTTTATATTAAATATGCATTATGCAGATGTTTTATTTCACAAATACATTAAACTAAGCAAACTCTTAATGGAGTTTTTATGTCTAAAAAAATAATAGTTTTGAGTTTTTTTTCATAATTAAAATTGGGAATTGAAAATCAAATGAAAGTCCTTGATTCCATAAGTGGTTTGAAAATGTGATTAAAGTAAATTTTGGGAGGATTCTGCACTCTGAATGGCAAACCTAATCAGATTTTAAACTGCTTTATTTCAGCTGGAAGCACTTAAAGCATTGATCTGGTTGTATGCTACATAAAATGCATTTGAAACCTATTTATTACCTGAATACACTGTATGCTTAAAACATAGGCTGGAAAGACATTTAAAAGTTTTTTCTCTCTCTCTGACAGTAGTAAGCTCTTCCTGGGCAGTCAGGATGACCTGAATGATCTCTATTTGCTCAATGTTCAGATAATAGGGTATGTTTGACAGAAGTGCTTTTTTCAAGGAGTTTTTCCAAATTTAAAAGTTTTAACTCGCTAAAAGATTGTGTCTGCAGATCTTTAAACAATTTGGGAAATCTCAGACGATGATATGTTTTTTTAAATTTTAATTTTGTTGAATTAAACTGAGGCACGCGTATGAGGGCATTTTCAAGGTGAATGAGTTTCAGCATTTATTTGCTCAATCCATGAAGTAAGCATGGACACTGAAGGAAACAGATTTGTGGTGAGATGAAACTTTTGTGGTTCCAGAGTTCTACCAAACCCCCTGAACTAAAGCAGGCTGAAAACTAGACCACCATGGAAGTAGTTTAGTTTTGAAGTAGTTTAGTTTTGATGTGGACTTAAAAGACACTCATAGAAGAAGAAGTACATAAAAAACCAACTTACAGCTTGCAAATGCAGAAATAAACTACATGACATCTGATAGAACTAACATTAATGTTAGCCCATTGCATGTTGTTACATTTGGAGGAAATCAGGATTTGGTGGAACATTGATGGTTTACGGCTAATTTGTAAAGCCTCATTTCAGCGAGTGATGTGTGTTCAGAAGATGGTTGTATCCCAGCCAGCATGCCTAGGTGGGCCCCATGTGGGGGAAAGGAGGGTTGATATATGGGACCCATATGGCCTGCCCTCCTTTTCCCCACATGGAGCCCACCTAAGCATGCTGGCAGGGATGCTGCAGTTATTCTGTGTTATGCCACAATTTTGTGAAAAAGGCTTTGAGATCACTAAGAATTGAAACCCCTGGTGTTCAGACAGCAGATGAAGAATTATGCTTATTATAAATATATGTTATAAAAACAAACTACATAGTCACATATTTTTTTCACACTGGTCATCACCTTTTTATGAGCCACCATGCATTGGGCAGTGACTTCATTTGCAGCAACAGGCTCTGTGGTTCCAAACCCT